CTAAAGTCATACTCCACCACCGACGGAGCCCATCAAGCTTAACGGTCCGGATGACGACGACAGTTTTCCTCCCAATATCAACATGAAACCTTCTGCGGGATTGCCGCCGTCGTCTACAACCTCGCAGAATAGGTCTTATCCTCCCGTGATTACTGAGCTTCCTCCGCCTTCGCAGCTTGATATTGAATGGTCCCCTGTCCTGACCCGAACTAACGAGCGTATATTAAAGCTGGGAAACTTAACGGTATCCACCTCCTCGGCACCCCGTTCTCAAAATAAAAGCGGTAATGGAGATAGCGATACGCCGAAAAAAGTTATCCCGTTTCTTTGGCGGGTCTGCCACCAAGAAGCGGCAACGATTGGTCCTAGTCACCTCCGCAGGCAGGGTAATCATCGTTCCGGCGGGTGGCGATGATAAACGGCCAAAAATGGACATCATGCTTCTAAATCCAGACACCCAATATCGCAGCATAACTGATTCCAAAGGTCATTCATCATGGGCAATAGATACGGTTAGTAGCCAGAAACCAACAAAAGCAGCAACCATTTGTAAGAAAGCCTTTACTGACTTTGCTTTCTTTGGCTCTTCCCAGCGCGAGAAGCATCATGTCTTTGAAGAGACTAAACCGAGCAGTGACGCGGCTGCCTCAAAACTCGCCACGCAAGAATGGCTGGAAGTACTGGACCGTGCAAAGGAGTTGGCCTCCGTCTACTCCACCCCCAATTCTTACACGGGTGACGACGGGTTCCGAGATTTGTCTTCTGGCGTATCGAGCCACGCTAACACCCTAAACCATGCTGATGATTCCCCTACGGGCCAATATCCACAGTCAAGCGGGAGAAATGCTTTATCCAAGCCATCGCCAGAGGGTGACTCCAAATCAAAGAAACGATTCAGCAGGAGACACTCTAGGAACGGCCTCTCCGCCGTCTTCTGATCTCACTTCTCACTCTCTTTTGCTTTCCTGCATGCATGCATTATTTCCTATGTTTTATTTGTCGATACTTTCCAGCTTCCACCTTCGACACCAATCGCACCACACCACCGGCAATTACCACCTACCTACCCACGTCCTTCATCCTCCATTCCATAAACCCCTCCATCATTTCCCTAGCTCTCATTCTTTCTTCTCCCCTCTGCTCTATGCGAGTTCCAATTCATGTGGCCAATTATTTTGTGCTTTAAAATAACCTTTTCCGTCTCCTTTTTCCTTGATCACATACAATAATTGCCACCCAGGCTACGATTAATGACTTTTTGATACCATTTTACTGTTACCAAGCGTTCTGGCTGCGACTCATCCGTCCACTAGAGGTAGCGTTTCAATGGTTTCCTAGCATTGGACGTTTTTCTTTTGTCTAAATAATAACTCTCCTCTTCTTTTTCCCCTTCCCCCCCCCCCCCCTATTTACTATTAATCACTTTTCTTCGCCCCCAATTTCTCACTTTTTCAATTGCTCATCCTATATGCGTTTCTATTACTATATAATACTTATTGTAACCTTTATCAGCATTCCATGTGTTTTCTGGCTCTACCCGAGACCGGTTCTGTTCCTACTAGTTACATCCAGTTTCTTTCCTTTTTTTTTTTTTTTCGTTTGTACTAAAAACATATCCAAGTCTGCAGGTTTCATTTTACTCTCTCCCTTTCTTCTCTAGCTTTGTCCTGAGCTTTGGCGTTTATCGAGTCGCTCATACCTGAGGGTTTCGCCTTTTATTTCTTATTTCTTCTCCTTGTTGTGCATAGAGGCTAAGCAGGGGAGTAAGTCTAGTTTGGAAAGCAGATGACCATCTTGTTATTTCTCCTTGAGTCCCCTCATGCCATTCTTGCTTTGCATAGCCTAGCCTATCCCGACCTGACCGGACGCTTTTTCTCTCCTATCCCTTCAGTTCTTGATACTGATTCCGCGAATGATGCTGCATTATGCCTGACCCTGTAAAGGCAATCCTTGTAAACACTAACAGCTATGTTGGCCGAACAATTTCAAATAATGGCATTTCCACACCAGGCACGCTTTTTCCTTCTCTGAATTTCTGAATTGAAGGCACTGTTCCCTTATCCTAACCGAAGAGGCACCATTAAAGCATGTGATAAGATATCTTCGAGCAAGGGTTTGCCAGACGTGGCAGACTCGTTTCCCTGAGCAGTTATCTGCACATGAGTAAATGAAAAAGAAAGCGCCACCCAAGGAAGAGTATAAGCCGTCCTGCTGCATAATCGGTGCGTCTGGGGAATGAGGGGAACCCCTGAGCCTGGTCATAATACTGATCCACGACATCGGCAGGGCCCCATGCCCTCCATCAACTAATAGGAGGAGATAAAATGACTCTCTTATTGTATGGGGTGGCACTCCGTCCTTGCCCTGCCCTGACCTGACCTGACGGGAGATACTCCCTGTTCGAACCACAGGATTGGATAGTTTGAAAACGAGTTAGTGGTATTCCCGTCCTTGCGATGTGAATAGAGTTGATGCTCGTTTAGATCATGCCATGGTCGACTTGCGTTAAGTCTTGTTAGTACGGTATAAGTGTGTTTGAGAAGGAGAGTAGAAAGGAACAGGGCAACTGAACCGACCCTAGCCCACACTAGGTAAAGAGGCATCTCCGTGTCTGCCTTTGATCGTGTTCATCATAGCGTAGTTTGCTCGGTATTCCTCTGCCCTGTTGAACAGCCAAGTAGTTAGTTAATTAGGGGGTATAATCAACAGGCAGATGCCATCCCTACGCCTCCGTCTCCGTCTCCATGGCTCTCCACACGCACGTATGCGATCGTCACTGTTAAAAATAACCTCGACCGGGGACTTTCTTCATGCCCAACCATGCCTGCTGCCTTGTTCGTAGTTTGATATCAACAACGGTGCTTGCAACGTCCATCCCAGCTTTCTTCAAGGCGGCTGGGAGAGATCTTGCTGACTCATCCGAGTTCCAACAACTAGTTAATTACTGACATATAATCCATTCAACTGAGCGGACTGTTTTCAAGGCCTTCATCCAGCACATATCTCCTTGCATGAGGCCCCAATCAGATGGACGGCCAGGCCATCTGCTCTGCTCGTATCTGGAAGTCCCCCTGTTCCTGTTCTGCAAAACGCAAAGGAGAAGAAGAAGCTTAATAATGAACACGAGAGAACAGCGTTCGGCCTGTGATGGAGATAGTGAATGACGTATCTTGAACCGTGTCGGTTCTCCAAGACCCCTGGCCTGTTTCAATATAATCTCTTTACACATGGCCTTTCCGTGCAGGCATCTGCCTGTTATTTTGGCTCTGCTAGCCGAGCTCAAAAAGTCACTATTCCCACCATGGACTGGTTCTAGACATCTGGTTTTGATACCAGCAATGGTGACAGCAAGCAAAGGGATTATTCAGGCACTGGATATTGGCATGATGCCTTCAGTTTGCTATCCGGCAGTTTAGATTTCTAGGCACCGGGGGGAGGGGGCGGTCTCTACTGCTATCCCGCTTCTTCGATGCATGCATGCAAGACTCGATACCCTTGAATTGGCATCGCTAACGTGGTACCATCAATCCCTGCGGAAATCACCGCTAGACTGGAAATATGGCCTTGCTCCATACGCCGTTAGCGTTTGATATCGCCAGGGAAGTGGATATATAAACTTGGGGCAAAAGCCTCGCATTCCATGTCCCGACGTCCCAAATAATCTTATATTGTTGCATCCGGAGGATACTTTGATATGTTCCAAATGTGCCTTTCTACGCCCGAAGCAATCTATTTGGCTTTTACTATGGTACAGGGTGTCATTCCGAGGAGAAGAATGTTCTATCTATCTATCTTTCTTTCTTCTAGCTGTTTGTTTGCCTTTGGGTTGATTCCCACCCAAGGCCTAGACAAGAAGCGCACCCACCCGGTTCATGCGCTTCGACCTGCTGAATTCTGGCCTCCACGCAACATGTATGGTTGGAATGGAGGGAGGGTAGCCACTGCTATAGCGCATGGTACCAGCTGCCAGCGAAGATTTCACCAAACCTGCCGTGGATATCCTTGTGATGTTGGGGTGGAGAGACTGAAGGCTGCAGAAGTAATGCAGTCTTCATGTCCCATTCCTACTCGACCTACCCATATGGTGACTGAGATATAAACTCCCCACATTTCCTTCTGAGATCTTGCAGATATCTTCTCCACAACATCTCATCCAGGCCTCGACTCAGCATAGTCTCTCCAATCTGGATTGATATCCTTACTCATAGCTACATACATACCCAGTTATATACCATGAAGCTTTCCATTGCTCTCCTTGGCCTTGCTGCCTCCCAGGCAGTTGGCCTTGCTATTCCAGACGGTACACCGGAGACTGACGTACCGGATGTCCTTACTTTGACTGAGCGACACCATGGCGGAAGTGGTTGTCCATCTAGCACCCAAACCGTCAGATACAATGTTGCCAATGATCGCAGATCCATCGTCATCCAGTACGAAAATCTCACTGCCCGGATCAATTCCAGAACTACCCCTGCCGATGAACGCACCAACTGCCAGGTGAACCTCCAAGTCGCCGGCCGCAACAACTACCAGTTCTCCGTTGCCAGTGCTACATACTATGGCTCAGCTCGTTTGGATGCTGGTGTGACCGGTAGACACGGAAGCATCTACTACTTCTCCGGAAGCCCAGATCAGGCATGTTACTGACTATCCCATTTTGTTATTACTGTAACACCAGCTAATGGCAGCTTAGGCATTCACTGCTACCGGTATTTCTGGCCCTCGCCGTGGCAACTACCGCCTCGACGACGGTGCAAACAAGAGAGTCTGGTCCCCATGCGGAGAGAGCTATCCCTTCAACATCAACACCGACGTTCGCATGGACAGTGACAACGAGAATGCCACCGGTGAGATGAGCCGGGAGGACGGCGCTGACGGGACGGTCAAGCAGGTTATCTCCCTCGACTGGAGGAGATGTTAAGCATAAGTCGTCTTCTCCTTCATCCTCCATCGCTCTTCTTCCCACTTCTTATTCCTTTTTCTCCCCAGCCGTCTAACGGCTCCTCCTTCGCCTCAACCTTCTTTGCTTATTCTTATTTTTGATAACTATATAACGTCGCTCTCAAGCTTCGTTCAACGACTTTTTACTTTTTGATGAAAACATGTACACTTTCGACGCTCACTGTCGCTATATTTCCCCCCTTGGGCCCCCCCTCCCCCCCAATGAGTTTTTTTTTTATGATTATAGTAATCAATCGAAGTATTTTTTTTTTTTGTTTTTTTTT